ACAGTAATATTAAATACACAAATAGAAATCAACATTTTTCTGAGGCAAGATTTCCTTAGCAGTTGGTTTAAGACAGTTCCACTGGGGGGTGGGGGTGGAAATGACATGAAAGAAAGTTGAGGAGGGATTTTGCAGATTTGCTTATGATGGATCCTGCATGTAACTTCAGTTGCACACTTTGTGCTCTGATTCTCAAGTGTCTTTCCCAACATTAATCTTTGACTCCTTTAAAAGTCTGTCATAACAATTTGTAGGGTGCATAACAGCAAACAGCAACAGAAAACCATTTCCTACTAATCCATCAATACAAGAAGATGGCAAGAAATAACAAGAGTTGTTTGATAAGAAGTGATGAATACTGATTATGAATTAATTTGTATACAATTTTGTTATGATACAATCGAGGGACATTAAAAAGACTGAGTTTTTGTTACAATGAGAGAGAAGGAAGGATTTCTTATTCATCACAGTGATGAAACTGGTGCCACCTTATCAGAGTACATTCAGATATTAAATGAATTTTTTCTAATCACAGTTTAAGTATCCACTGGGCCACAAGCACTTGTTCGGGGGTTTTTTTGTTTGTTTTGGTTTTTTGGGTTGTTTTTTTTTTTTAAACCAGAGAAGGAACTGAACTCTGCTGCAGAGTAGTACTTGAAATATAGCAGAACTTACTATGCCATCTTCCAAAATGAAAAAACAATATTAATAAAACTTCTGCACATTTACAGAACTAATACAGCAAAGTCCAACTTTTTTAAACCTACTTGTAACATCTACATGCTATTCTGTGTATACTTAAAAACTAAGTTATAATTAAATACAAAGTATTTTTTAAATGTACCTTGGTGCACAAATGTTAATATATACATATTTATATGCTTAAAATTCTCAGTCGAGACTTTCTAACACACTCTACATTTCCGGAGAGAATATGCTCCTATATTATTTCCTAAATGAGGAACATTTCAGATTTATTTTCAACTGCTTATTGTAGCCAGTCAGGTTGTTTTAAGCATCAGTAAGAACTATCATAATTTTAAATTTTTAAGTTTTAGAATTTTCTATTTGTAAATTTCAGGTAAGGGAACACTCCGAATCATCAGCTGCTGGACTAAAAGCAGCTTTGTAGGGAGAAGACCCACTAGAGACTTTACTCTTGCATTACCACCTAATTATCTTTGGCAACTATCCCACGCTGAGGCAGTCATAGATCAAAGGTATCATGTGTAAATTACTCTTGACAATTATTTTTGCAGTATGCTCTTAGTTGACCAAGGTACCTTCTCCTCCACTACTTTCTAGCACTTCTAATTACACTATTCCTTTTGCTCATTTTCTTTTTCTCCCCTCAATAAAACTTATCACCAATATTCCTTTCCTTTATTAATTTGATATTTGCCACCCTTCTCTTATATACCCATAAAAAAAATCCAATCCAAATAAAGCCACATATTAGTTATCATTTCCTTCAATGTTTTACTGATTTTCTTCATTAGTTTACATCTCTAGTGTAGTGCTTGAGATGTGGAGTAATATTTCAGGAGCTCGCATGGTGGGAACTTTTGAAGCCTATGTATGGTACTACAGTATTAAATAAAAATTAACCAGTAATAAGAAAACATCAAAATTTCAATTATAATTAGATCATAAAAGAATCCCTGTATGCCACCAGGTGCTCAAGTTAAGAGGCTCTTCAATCAGAGAAGCACAATCTTTATTTTGCCATAGCTGCCTATAAATCCAAAAGGGAGATATAAACATACATACACTAGACTAAACAATGGCTAAATAGCAGCCACTATTCACTCTCCCACTCACACATACCATGCAAGTCTGTGGGAAAAACTTACGATTGAAGCTAAGGAACTCAAGTAAAGTTTTCTGAAAATAACCCAGAGCTGACAAGTCAGTAGGAGGGCCTGGATGGTTTCAAGACACAGTTTTTAACCAAGACTTGGACCTCCAACTTTTTTTTGTGCCCTTCTCCCCACCCCCTTTTTTTTTTTTTTTTTTTAGAACAAAGATTAACATCCCATCCTTGGCTAAATTACTTCTAAATTAATCAAATTAATTAATGAGTGGATAAGTGAGATACTAGACAAGACAGAGTGAAAGTCAGCCAGCCAGTATGGTCTATTTTGTTTTAAACAAATGCGTCAGTGCTAGTTTATCAGATGTCTAGGGCACAAACATTAAAAGGCTTAAAAACAGTGCTTCTCCTATAACAGTGAATAATGTATGCATGTACATTTTAAGATTTTGGTTTTCTTTTCTGCATTATAGCAGAGATGTCAACGGCTGAAAATGACATTTCTCCTAGCTTTTATTTTTGTTTTGATACACTGTTTTCTGCACTCAGACAGGTACTGAATTTTGCAACCAAGATCTCTGTATTGCTCTCAGAAGTAATGCTCACAAGCACAACACATATGGAACTCTCATTTGTGTAGTATTGAGATCTCCCAGTCAGCAAACTCTGAAACAGTCTGGAAATGATAAAGTCTACCTGGGTGATTACACAGCTAACTTGTTGATATTTTTTGTATTCCTAAACCTGAACAGGGTATAATAAATGAACTACTAATACTGACTTGCAATGAGTAACAGAGAGGGAAGAAAAATAAGTTGGGTGAAGTCTATTTTCACTCAGCTTTATAAACTGTGTTTAAATTCAACTAACTTCCGTATTTGGTAAGCACAGGTAAGCTTGATGTATGTGTGTTCTTAGGTATCGTAGATCTTTTTCTGGTTACCACTGGCCCCATGTTTAGCATTCAAAAAACTGGATGTGGAGTTTAAAGCATTTTCTATTAATGGTCCCACACTTTTCTAAGTCATGTACTGCATATCCCATAGTCTGCAAAATATAAAAAACCACCACATGTGTGCTAAGAACTAATTCCAAAGTAAAAGGAAACTTCTTAATTAAGGAAACATTGACTTTTATGGTTGCAAATCAGAAGAGCATTTCACTAAATGCTTAGCCTGTAGATTATGCTTCTTTAATTCACAAATTGACTGTACTAGGTCACCTTTGAGTAATGGAAATCTCTGTTTAAACATTTTTTTGGCAATGGGCACAAAGCATTAGATCTCATTTCCAAGACTCACCAGCTGGGTTTTGTCATTAACATTTATTAACAATCTAAGATACGGCTTTCAGCGTCTAATCCTCACTACACAAATGTTTTGTATAGTTCTCTAGAGAGCTTTGGCGTGACAAATTACTGGCACATATTACAGCCCTGTGGCTATTCACCAGAGGCAATGCAGAATTAACATGGTATTAATCCAATTTAAACAAGAAATTGGTCAAACTATGCACAATTGCACAAATCATCTGAACTAAAGCAAATCTAGAATTCACGAAGCAACAGTTTCCAAATTTATATTTAAAAGACAGTAGATGGGTTTTGATCAGCTCTGCTTCAAATTTATTTGGCTCTTTAAAGTCACTTAAATCCCTTATCAATAGACTAAGTATAAGATCAAGCACAGGTGTACAAAAACTACAAGAAACTACTTTGAAACTGTTTGCTCTGTAGAAGAAAAGTTTTAGGTAGCGTAATTCACTGTACATGCCAACTGGTTTTATGGTTCAGACTTTCAGCAAAAGGGTCACCTGAAAAAATCTATGTATATTACTAAATTCAGATTGTCAGGTCTACAGTGATGAAATTTATAATGAAAACCTGATAGTGATATACACTAGTGTTACTTTGGCAAGCAACAATTTTTCCTTTTATTCTACAGGAATTTTTTAATATGGCAGTAAAAAACATAGTCTGGGCATTTCATGGGTACAGGAAAAAAAAAGTCTTAATCGGACATAAGATTTATATTTTTCCTTCTATCTTCTTGTCAAGCATGGATGTTTCAGAAACTAAAGATGAGAATTCATGACTCCTTTTATGACTAGGCAAAAAAGGACCAACTTGAAGACAGCAAATAAAGATGAGGTTTTCATTAGTGATTGTACAACATATTCACTCTCTTCAAAGAGAAATATAGATTATAAAAGGTAATTATCAAATAGGAGAGCGTGGGCTTAGATTCTTACTATTCAAAACAGAATACAGTAGGAATGAAGCAGGAACTCTAATCCTTTAAAATAAATAAAAATGGAGGGGGAAAAAAAAAAAAAGCCTACCAAAAAACCCCAAAAAAACAAGACAAACAACAACCCCATCAAAGCCCAAACCAAAAACCAAAACAAACATTTCCTAAAGCAGAAGGTAGGAGTGAATACAGGTTACAAAAAACTTTTTTTAGAACTTGATTTCTGAAGCTTTATGTCTCTGTCAAGGTTTGCTCATCAAATTTACTAATTTGTTTGTCAAGTCCAAGGAAAATGCTTGCCATTCTTACACATACCGCTTAGCTATGTTTACTGCAATTCATGAAAGACAGGCAATGACAAAAAAAATGGAGGCACATGGATTCAGTGAGGATGAAGCTGCTATTCCTGGTTTGAACTGGGTATTTCAAGTCATATGTGTATACACATACACAAGCTCTGTTAAAACACAGCAGCAAAAAAGCATGCCACATTAGTATGAGATTAGAATTTCCAAAAGCAGGCAGAAGTTTCAATTCTAGTTTAAATTTTCTGCAAGTTTACTTCATTTTATAGTATTCAGCAAACCTTGAACCATTGTTTCCAAAAGCTTTGTTTCTTATCTTTACTCTTTATTCATTTTACAATTAAAATATAGAATAGTTAGGACTGTAACTAACCAAGATGGTTGGGAAATGCTTGCTTTTTAGCTATGCCAACCTTCTTTGTAGGTCTGAGGCTTGACCTTTCCCGAGTTCAATGCCAAACTCGAATCAATTTTGCTGTTCTAATTTTTGCAAAAGAGTGTAGCTCAGAACTTCAATTTTGTACAGACAAACACTAATAAAATGAAAGCTGCCAGGAGCTGACAGTAATTACATGTTGCTTCTAACACCGTATTAACTTGGTTGTCTCTTACGACAAAAGAAAACCTGCATACCTGTTTTATCCTTGCAAGTTCTTTCAAAGCCCTTGTCCATTGTTGTTTGTAGTGGAGCTTTGACTTGGTAGCTGACTCTAACTTTCTTTCAAGTTCAACCTAAAAGCAATTAAAATCATATCAGCTGAAGCAATAACAGCAGTAAGGATCACTGAAAGATGTATATATACAAAGGGTCTGGCTTAAGAAAAGTGTTTATGTAGTGCAACATACAACATCATCTAAAGCTGTTATACAATATAACATAAATATTATGGCACATGAACATTTTCTTGTTTAAAATATAGCCTTATTTTTATTGGATAGCTGTCTATACAAAAAGAAAAAGATTAGTTTTAGCACTAAATCTGCTGACATAACTTTTAAATTTAAGTCTCTCAATTTAGCAAACCCCCCTCTTTTTTTTCTTTAAGGTAAGATTATAAACACTAATTTAGCAGAAACATTGATGCATAAATCTTGTCTTTAAAAGGCATGTAATTGTTTCCTTCTTTCCTACAGCTGATGGAAGATACTTGCTACATTCTTTTATTTGAAATAGATATCTGTTCAAATTGTTCTATAAAACCTATGCATATGGTGTGAATCTTTGATTTTACTATCTAAATAAATCCTTAAAAAATGTTAAAAGCTAAAAAAAAGAAAACAAAAAAAACCAATGCATTCTGTGAAAAAGAAAAAAAAATATCTCATATTAAGGCAAAGAAAACCAGTTTAGAAGCACACAAACCAGAGTAAACTGAAGAACGAACCATTTTTAATTAACAATTCCAAGGCAGTGATATTTTCTTCTAATCAGATAAAATTATTTACCACTAAATTTGTGAAGAACTTAAAGCTTAATTTTTTTCTTAAAGCTAACAAAAGTAGTAGAATCTAAAAATATTTAAACTAAGAGTTTAAAAGTCTATGGAGACAAATACATTCTGGATCATTTGCTTGCATTATTGGAAGTTATTCAGGCATACAGTAACATTTGGACTGGCCATATAACTAAGCGCATTTTCTGCCAAGAAGCCTGGTCCAACTTTTTGTAGCTTATTCAGTCAACAATTTGACTCAAACTTCACAGTAATTCTGAGCACAAAATACCCGTACCTGTGGTTCTAATTAAGTAAATATCCTCTGCTGAAAGCTTATGACAGTGATTCCATTCTACTGGTAACTAACACAATCTTTACAGAAATACTAAAAAAAAACAAAGCATGTAATGGAATACCAGTCTAAATTAAGCCTCACAAGGAAATCTTCATTTTTATTTAGTTTTACAAGCAGAATACTCAAGAGTGCCCACCATAAATCACAACAGTAGCAATTTAAATACTTAGGTTAGGTTTTTTCTGCCTTAACCTCTATCTCTACTGCTTCCTCTATGGAAATAAGGTCACTGTTGGCCTTATTTGTGTCTGGATATTTAAAGTCTGAAGAAATCGTTAGAAAAAATAAACCAAAATTGACAAATTAACCAGCATATCATTCAAGATTTTTCTACATATCCTTTATCAGTGAATGGCCCATGGTGACAGTTTTAAAGACTAGAAAAATGCAAGATACCTTTTCTAAAGTGAGCAGATTTATTTCCGATTGTAGCTTGACTTCTGGTTTGCTACTTTGTCGTTCTTTGTACTGCTGGAACTCCTTCTCCAAAATTTTATGCTTATTTTCTGCTTCATTGAGCTACATTAAAGATATCAAGATATAATGCAACTTAGCAGAAAAAAACATTCACAAAGTATTAGGTTACAGGATTTAGTTACTCTTTGGCCCTCAAACGAATATCTTGTTGTCAATTATCTGATGTAAAACAGACACTGAAAGCTACACATTCACAATTAATGTTTTCTTGATGAAGGCATACAGCAATAGGCAAAATTTTAAAGAGGATCTTTGCTCGGTTCTGGAAAGAAAAAAAAAAACAAACCCCAACAAATCTGTCCTCATATACAGAAGATCAAGATTTATAAACATGCCTGTTCACATTTCTATAATGTCTTGCTGAAGAAATACAGAAAACCTAACTACTTAGATTTACACACATCTTTTAAAGAAAGCTAACAGTGTTATCTACTTATATGAAGTTTTATTACTAACCCAGTTTCACCAGCATAACTTTTTTAGGAATGTCTGGAAAAGGAAACAACTAATACTTTGTACAGCCAAATGATTTAGAAGAAAGGCTGAAGTAGAAAGACTTCAGTGACTGATGACTTAATGCTATGTACCTCTGCCCTCACTGTGTACTTCCACAGTTTCATGAAGATTTTATAAAGAGAGTGGTTTGCTTTTCGTCTTAAAATGGGTAACTTGATAAATGATGCTAAAGCACAATTACTTTGCTAAAAAGAAATAGAGCAAATCAAATGTTTAACAGCTTTTTTCATTATACCACATTAAAACATGCTAAAAATGTTTTATAAGATGTTTTCTAAGAGTAGCTTACATTCTTCTTCTGTTAAATCTTATTCAACTATAAATACCTTAAAACAGCTGATGGAACTAATGCATTGAATCATAGAGTATGGTCGCATATGCTGCCTTTGTATTTATGTCCAACTAAGTTAATGCAAGTATTTTCATGAACTGTATCCAACAACTTAGAATACTGGGCAAAAATATTTCAGATAATTCATTTCTGTTTCAAAGCCTACTACCATTAGCACATAAATATTTTAATTCTTTCGATCCCCTTACTGTGGCACTTCTTTTTTTCTTCCAAAGTTTCACTTTCGCATTTCTTATTCTTATAGAATTGATGCAAGAAAGAAAGATGGTTCCTAAGGAACCATACAAAAATGCATGCCACTGCAGGTACTTTACGCATATAACCACAATAGCCAGTTTCAACAGTATACTGTTGTTTGCCACCTTTCCATTTTTACCTATTTCTTTTTAAAGCAAACATACAGACATGATGCTAATCACAAAGACAGTAACTGACCTGTTTAGCTATGAAAAATGCTGTCTCTCCCTGGAGCTTCTATAATAATATCTAATTTCTTGCTTGGTTCTGAAAACACTCAAAAATTGTACTTCTCATGAGACCTCAGGTCCCTCTCCCTTAGGGAACTGCACAAATCACAGAAAGCACAGCTTGCTTATTCAGGAAGTAAGAGTGATGTTCTTTAAGGTGAATGCCTCAAGGATCTTCTCCTGCATAGTAGAGTGGCATACCTCCAAATAAGTTAGACACCTAGGGAACTCTACAATTCAAGTGTGAAAACTGTGTACTGACACATCTCCTTATATTGAAGCATGAAAGAGATGCAAAATAGCAGGAACAGCACAGAGGAAGACAAACAGGATGATCAGCTGGAAGGAATGATCTTCATACAAAACAAGACAAAACACAGTGGGATTTGTGTTTGGAAGAGAGTAGCATGACAGGCACCTAAGCAATCAGGAACAGTATGCAGCACAAGCACTAAATGATTCTTAAGCAATGAGCTTAAAATGAACAAAAAGAAGTTTTCATATATACAACACATAATTAAATTTTAGAACTCTGCCACAGGATGTTGCAATGCTAAAAATAGAAATACTTCTTAAAAGGGATTGCATGAGTTCCTGAAGAATGCTTTCACTGATGGCTAGTAAATATAAAATGCTGCCTCTGGCTGAGGACACATGTAACTCCTGATGGTATTGCTGGTATACCAAAACTCTATATTGTCATTGTCCCATTTCTTATTTTCTTGCCCTCTAAATGCAATCATTGCTGCAACAGAATGTTGAGCTAACTGCATCTTTGGTCTGATACAGTATGTCTGTTCTGAATAGGAAAATATAAAGTGATTGTGATTGTATTGTTAACCTAGCTAAAACAAATAGGAGTCAAAAAAATGAATTTGGAAGACGGCTTATAGGTGGTGACATTTGGCTGCTTGAGCCTGAAGAACTATTGGCTATCTTTTCTGGACTGATACAGCATTAGTAGCTGCCAACACACATCTACATGCAGAAGTGATCCACTTCTTATTTTGAAGATGATTGCATTCTGCAGTATGAAACTGCTCATCTCATTTCAATGATTGTTCAGTAGAATAGCCAAGGCTAGCACCTTCTAGATCAGCAGCATTTTTTGTACTAGCTGTATTTAAATAGTTCACTGTACTGTGGTTAACATACGCTGACATGAAAACAAGTAAGTTAGTATCAGTGTTTCTTATTAAACTAAAACCAAAACAAAATCAACCCCTCTCCAAAAAAAAAAAAACCAAAACAAAACCCCCCCCCAAAAACACAAACAAAACCACAAAAAAAAAACCCAACCCACCCCCCAAAAAAACCCACACAAACAATAAAAAAACCCCCAAACCCACAAAACAAAAAAAAAAAAAACAAAACCAAACCAAAAAACCCAGCATAACTCTTCCTAACACAAAAACATGCCTTTGGCTGACACAGTTCTTCAATTAGTCAAAGCTATTTGTGGGATTACCACTCTCATGTATCAGAGATGAAAAATCACCAAAGCAAGTAATTAATTTAAATAAACTAAGTACTTTGAAAAAATCTGTGCATTACTCAATTTACTTAACAACATATTTAGTGTCTAATATTGTACCTGCTCAGAAAAGCCAGTATTGACTTTTAAAGTTTTACAGTATGCTTTAACAGGCAAGAAAAACAGCTAGACCAGCCTTGTAGTTAAGTGTAAAAGCTAGCTTACAGGACAAAAGAATGTGGTTAAAAGTTCCCAAGTTCAATGAAACTACTACTTCCAGAATAGAAGGCCTTAAGAACAACATAATCCACACACACACTCCACCCCAAAAAGGATAATAGAAATACTCTTTTGCAATGGAAGAATAAAACAAGCTCCAAAGTCAAGCTATGTAGATGTTTTGCTATATGAGACTTCCTAATAGTTTACTAAGTTACTGAAACGTATACTGCTGTTGAGGTTCTACATGTAATGTATGCTTGTAATTGCTGTTTGATTTACAGTGTTAGGAAAAAAAAAAATATAACCACTGCACTGCAAACTAAGCGAGACTGACATTTATGGATCCCAATACACAAGTCACCAAACAAACATAAAATATTTGTAACAAAGTTGCCAGAAAGCACTTGCCCCAAACCCATTGCTCAGCTTAGTGCACTTACTTTATAAAAATGCTTACTTAAGTAAATGTCGAAGCAGAAACTTAAGTGTACTTACCTGCTGCTGTAAGCGAAGCTTGTCTTCTTCCAGCTGTTTGATTTTTGACCTTTCTAGCTCAACCTGGTGTGCACCTTCTTCTCTGGCTCGCCGCACAGAATCCTGTAGCTCCTGTAGCTTTCGTTCATGGTCTGCTTGCAACTCTTTCTTTACTGTTTGAAGCTTAAAAGTGAGATGTATTTTTATTAGCCCATATGTGCATGAGCTTTATTTTAAGAGCCTTTCTTACAACTGCTCAAAAACAGTGACAAAAATGACAAAAACCTGCTGTCCTTTCTAGAAATTAAACAATAGATATTCCATTGTTATCTACATGTTTGCTATATATTCCTTATTAGCTTTCAGTTCAACTAATGACCTGCAAATTACAATATACTCTTGACTAGTGTAAAATGTAGCTATCTATATCTCTACTGTACTTCCTACACAGGACTGCTAAAGGCAAGTTATATATCCACCTTTCTACTACGAACTAAAATGCTAAATATGCACCTTCAATGCAGAAGTGATGAAGTCACAACTACAGCCAAGATGACTTTAGGTCAGAAAACTTCACTCTTCAAACTGAGCATATTGAGAGAATTCCTCACTGAGGAACTAAACAGGAAAAGTCCTTTGACATGTTTGAACTTTCTAGAATGACGTTACTGTCCCAGATAACTGCTGGCTGAATAGAAACCTCTCCAAACGACCCATTTTTCAAACTGTGTAATTGCTAAATGAACCCTACATCATGTTGTCTGGACATTTTTGGAATCCACTGATTTTTATTATCTCTAAACCCTCAGGTCAGAATCTCACTAAATTTAGAGTAAGTTTTGAGATAAACAGCTATGAGAATCAAAATAAATACTTTTACTCAGACAAAAGTGCATTCAACCAAACCTAATCGACAGATTTTTTGCACAGATGTTAAAGGAAATTCAGACACTATTTTACAGCAAAACTGCATCTTGAGGGGTACAGGAAGCCTGAGCAGTGAACAGGACAAAGGCTCAACAAGCCAGTCCCTGTGTTGGGAGCTTTCTTAACTTTGTTCACAAGCACAGGAGGGATAGATATGACCAAAAGATTAATCTGAGCTAAAGGAGGAGATAAAGGTTTGTTGGACTGCTAAATCACAGCAGTTTACTAATAGAACTGTGAGCTTGTTATGAAGTACAAAACCAGACAGTATAATTTTCTTTTTCTTTCTCTTTTCCTACAACTAGCTTCCCTGGGGTACTTGTACCCCATTTCCATATCTTTGGGAAGTTCAGTGAGATCTAGAAACAGTGGTAGCTATTGGTTTCTCTCACATCTTCTTTGGCCCTTCACTATAAAAAAAGCAGTATAAAATAGGAACTCTATCAAATTGCTGGGTAATAAAACCCGGGTAATGTCAGTTTCTCCCAGGTTTCCTTGTCACTTTCTATTTCAACGGTTAATCTAGCAAATACTGTTTTAAGTAAGGAACTCTTGTACACATGTGCAATGTTCAGAGTACTAAACTTAGAATTGAGATATGATAACATTATATTAAGTGTCTCCGCTGACACACTAGATCTGTTAAGAGAAAATTTACAGTTCTGTAATTCTAATAACCCATTTAAGTTCACTGAATTTCCATTTCAGTAAAAAAAGTGTAGTTGTAATAAACTTTGGCTTAAATTATTAGTGCTCTTACGTGCATTGGTATGAATGTGGCTATTTGATGATTCTATGATTTCAGTTCTTATACACAGGTCACAACTGTCTATATGAAAACTCAACAAAACTTACAGAAATAGCTCATGCAATTGCACTGTTTAAAATGACGAAACACCTTTTACCTCTGATTCAGCACTAAAAAGCTGCCGTTCTCGCTTATCTAGATCTCTCAGGGTTTTCTGAAGTTGTTCTTCCAAAACAGTATATTCTGCTACCTAAAGCAACAAAAAAAAAAAAAGTTTTTTTTTCCTTGTGACATAATGTTTTAGGCAGGCAAAAATTTACTCTTGCTATGGTATAAAATACTGACAATTTCTTTAGAAATTTACATGGCTTTTAATGAAGAAATGACAATGGAGAGCCTTTATACAATAAAGGCTAACCAGTTTCCATGCACAGCTGGGCTGTAGAAGTGATTTTTTGACCATGCAAGTGGAAAGGCAATTAAAGTTAAAAAGCCCCCAGTGAAAGCAAGCTAACTTAAAGAATTTCTAACAAGTATGATTAAGGGCTATTTGTAATTTTTTGCACTGTTGTTGACTAGATGCGTACATACTAGTAGGTGTGAACAGTAATTACAGACCCTTTGTTCTATGTTATAGTTATGTAGTATCTTGTCAAATTTCATAGCAAGGAGAGATTTATAATGAGACATTCAGCAAGTATGAGTTTCCTTACCTTCTTCTTCACTAATGCTTCTCTTTCTCTCTCTCTTTTCTTCCATTCTTCTGCAAGTACTTGCATATGGACCATTTCCTTCTTCTTAAGCTAAAAAAAAAAAAAAAAAAAAAAAAAAAACCAAACCCAAAACCAGAAAACCCAAATAGAATTGTTGGATGTGCAACTTTAAACGAACAAATACTAGCAGAACTAAGCCTTGAAGCAAAAGAATTAAAAGTTTTGTACAACTACTTATGTAATAAGGTATGAATTTGATAGTGAAAGATATATCTTACCTTTAAGTAAAAAATGCAAAGTAAGGCCAAGTTCGAGAAAAATATCCTAACAAACAGACACTAGATTCTCAGTATCTTTTTAAAAGCAGCATACGACTCTAAAAACCTCGAGAGTGACTTCAGGAGTAGAAACACAGCAATGGATTTAGACTGAGCATAAAGAAATGCAGTGTCAATATTTAACAGCGATTATTAGAATTTTTAGTATGTACTGCACTTCATAAGGGGAAATTGTGAAGGGGCTATTCAGTATTTCACTGCCTAGTACCTACTTTAATCACTTATACAGAAGAGAATTAACCTTCTTCATTAAAAGTATGGAAGGTATTTGGGTACATCTGAAGTTTTAACATTCAGCATGAGCAAAAGTTAGTTCTTATTTGAAACAGTGCCAAAGTTTAGGAAATACTCTTCTCATCAATTCTGCTAAAGCTTCTCCGGCAGTATGCAGTTTAGGAAATAAAGAATAAAAACCTGATTTTCAAAAATGTCCTCTTGCATTTCCTTCCACATTTCCAACTCCAGTGCAGCTTTGTATTCAAGAGTTTCTCGAGGCTCTGGATGTTTTTCTGGGGCACGAGGCTGAGTGTGAGGGACATGCCGCTGCTGACCAGCACCTACACACTGATACAGTAACATCGGATTTTTAGCTGGTAACCCAACTTCTCAAAAAAACATTCAAGGGAAAAAAAGATTTATGTAAAATTTACTTGAGAAGAATCTGACACCAGAACTTCTTGCATTTTCACAAGCCCGTGGTCTTCCAAAGTGATAGTGTATGAAAGGTCTGCTATTCTGCTGCCTGACCTATAAATAACATTAGAGTGTTAATAAACACTGTCTTAAAAATACAGAAAATGAATCAAAAGACAACACACAAACCCCAAAAGTTGAAGTGCTGAAAGGTTCCATGTAAGCTGAGAGACTCTAAATGTTTGCCTGTGTGAGAGCCCAAACATGCTCTCCCATGTATATCATTTTATCTCAGGGACTGATTTACACATCTTCAGTAAGCTTTCTGACTTCAACAGATAACTTGTCATTGAAAACCTATTTAACTAACAGCTTACTATAATTGCTGATTATGTTGATGTCAATTATGTTGATTACATCCCTGTAACAGGAGAATGATCCTAAATTGTACCTGTAGTCTTAAGTCTAACAAATACACCTGTTGAATACAGGTATTGCAGCTGACTTTGTTCAAGATACTCAATGAATTTCATTAGTCTTGAATCTTAAAATATTATACTATCCACAGTACAATAAGTCATTTAGCATATTATGTGTGGTAAGCCATCCTCAGACTTACTTTTAAAAAGCACATTTCTGAAAGCTTCAGCACAGAGAACTGACACGTTTGAATGCACCTATAGGTTAAGTACTACCTGCTCTTGTACAGTGAAGAAAAAGTCTAGATAACAGGTACTTTTACTAAACTAATTTGAAATTAGTCACAGTTTCTACTTAAGTAGAACAGTTTATCTCTGGCTGCCTTATCTCTAAACACTGATAAAATGTAGTCACCAAATGTATTTTTCTGCACAGAATGATATTAAGAGAACAAATATGCACAGATCATGTAACTGAAAGTTATCACTTGTCTAACATGCAAGTACACTGCAGTGTAGACCTGTACTTGGTCAGGAACAAAACTATCATTTCGGCTATAACTACTCAATGATGCAAAGGCAATTATACAGCCACCTGATTCCTAGAAGCTGCAGCATTACTTATTAAGCAATTTGCAACAAGGCTGCAGGAATTGACCATGGCTGTAGTCTTCACAGAAATTCTCTTCCAGCAAATACAGAAAGGCAACACTAAAATATTTTTACAAAAGGCAGTCCTCTACACAGTTATCTGCAGGGAAAAAACCTCCACCACAAACATTTGTATTTCATGTAAATTAACAAAAATTACTGCATCAAATTCTTAAACTTTCTGTCACTGTTTAAAAAGCAAAAGAAGATTCAACTTAATGGACCTCAAAAATCTGAGTAATGGTCAGTTTAACGTATCAGTATAAAAAGAATACACCAACAAGAGCAAAGCTAGCCATTTATCAGCACACCAAAACGCACAGACCTGATTACATTTTGAGAATGCCATCTAGTGGTAAAGTTTTGTGCAAAACCAGATTTCATTTTAGCAGACTTAACTGGTGAAAGTGTAATCCTTCATGTATAGTAAGATCATAAAGTAACTCTCCACAGAATCAGGCTATGCTGGCTTTCACACAGAAAAGTTAGAACAAAATCAGATGCCAATTTTTTACCAATTTGGGGGGAGAGGGTATATCAGTCTTTGTGCCAATAACCTGAAGTTTCCTGTGCATAAATATGTTTAATTATCTGGAGGATTAGAGGTTTAAACCCAAACTCAGTCTTAATAGCAATTACATTTATTTCTAAAGGTATAATCAAGTTCCATTATCACACAGAAAAAGATTAGGCTTTAGACAATGATTACTAGCACACTTCATGTCTTCAATAAGGACACAGGACAGAAGTAACTATCAATACGCTTCCTCATATACATAAAAAGGAGTAACATTCCTCTAGGTAAATGAAACATTCATCCTCAGATAAAATATTAACAAATAGCACTGCTCCTTCTGATGTACACAGGCTCAAGCCCCTGCTACTATCACACAGTATAATCCTGAAAGAGAAAACCTCTTCACCTCTATGAATGTATCTGTTCCCCTAATTTTCACTGAAGTCTGTAGCATCAGTAGCATCTAAAAGTATACTGCGGACAAGTAGTCTTAACTATTTTCTGGGATATCAGCAGCATTTTGTAATTGTTAAGTATTTAACTTCCTCAGGAGAGTGCCTCAGTAACATTTTTTCCAACTATTTTCCTTTGATCTGTAAATCTTACAGAAGGTCATGATCATGTAAAGGTTTATTATAATGACTGTGGTAGTGGTTTGGGGTTGCACAATATGCCTGTGGCAATTTAACTTTTAATCACTCAGATGCCTGTTCCTACCCCACACATCATACCGCAGTACTCTGCAGCCTGTTCACCTGTTCAAAAAGGTAAACAGAAGAGTCTGCCCTTTTTCAATGGAACACTAAGCAAACAATTCTTCAAAACTTGCTACAGAATAAGTAGGGTTTCTTAAATAGTTATACCCTTGTGCTGCTGTGACACTGACTGTTTCATTATAAGTCTGACGCCAGCACTGTTCGCCATTACCACCCAAAAACCGTGTTTTTTCAGAAGCCAAAACATTTGAAAGTTGAAGTCTCGCCACCCCTAGAAGTAAGTCTTTAGCTGTTTTATCCTTGTGCCACAACTCGACCAACAGCGGTAATCTGAAACACAGAAGTGATTTTTAGTGTCAGGCATCAACACAAAAGAGGAAACATTCCTATTAATTTGGGAAAAGAGCCTTATGTTCTAAAAGTAACTTACCAAGTTAATCATGGTCCAACTGTCAAAAAACGAGATGGGTTTACTGCCCCTCATTCAGATGAAAAAGTGACTGGCTATCTTCTCTATCACTCACTTTTGTGATTGGCTGAATAATCTTAACAGACCTAGATCATCTTCATTTATAAATATATTTTTGTCACTGCCACTCAGAATACATCTCATCCACCTCTTCTTTCAAAATACCACTATTTTGATGATTCTTTATTCCACATCTTAATCAGTTATCGAAAGCTGGTAGGACTACTGGGAAAATTGTACCTCAACCCTGTACTCAGCTTCCTGGGTACTTGCTGTATTTTTAGGAACATTGGATATTCATGATGTATTAAAAACAAAAATTAAAAAACCTTACCTGTTCTATTTGAAGCAACGCTTTGTTAAAACCACACTATCAACGTTTAATTTAACAACTTACAGCACTTGTTTCTGTAAGCAATGATCCCTGCGCAAGTACTCAAGAGATAAATGCAAGAATTTTAGTCCCTGACTTTAAGTGTAAGTAATCAAGAAACTGGAAGAGCAACCTATTAAAATATTCACTTGCATTAGCTCTTGGATTCTTTACTAAATGCTCAAATTTATAATCCTAAGTAAAACATTTGAACATGAATGCATTTACAACAAAAAAACTGAATAAGAGTGATTAAGATAAAAAGAAAGCAAGTTATCACCTCAAGAATGTATCTTGAAGCTGATGAGGCATAGTTGCAAAATCAAATGCACAGTAGGATTGTGGAAGAAAGACTTCCATGTTTTTTCTAACTTCTACAGGTGGGCTTGTCATAATAGGTGCTGCACTGCCAAAAAATGGATATGAGTACCTAATAAAAACAATAAAAAATAATAATAATTTAAGATTTTTATACCTTCTGCAACAAGAAAACCAGTTTAGACATTTTACTGAAGCACAACTTGTACAAAAGTTAGTAAAATTTACACAAATACATCCAACAACAGAATTTGGTTTTCAGACATTCCTGTTTTCATTTACTTCAGCACTGATCCAGCTTCATTTATATTTGTTATTTTGACAAAAAAAGAGCTTTATTAAAGCTTTATTAAATCTGCATGTTCACAGCCATCTGAATTAATCTACTAAAATTCTGCAATTATTATGTAAAATGAGCAGAGAAAAATAAGGGAGCATTATTTTCAGATGTAGACTGCTACTTAAAACATCTATAACTATTTTAACATGCAATAACTGATAACTGATTATACATACATACAGTTTCAAAGTCATTTGAAAATTTCAGTAACATTTGAGGAATTAAGGTTTTAATTCTCACAGTTTAAATCACTAAGGAAAGCCAAATCATTTTACCAATATGATTTACTGTGTGGCCTGAAACTATTCTACTGGCACTATTCAGTGTATGATAAACTACTTATGATAAAGGGGAGGCCAGGAACCTGTCAAACTTCACTTTGCTCAAATTGATCATGCCAGCTGTCAGCCAAGTTACTAAAAACATAAATGCTGCATCAAATGCTGCCACTTATAAAATTCCACACTTTAACTGTTTGTGCAAAACTGCTTGAAGAGCTTGTTTAGACCTGAATTGAATAATGCTCCCAATATACTGTAAAAATGTGATTTTTACCCTGCAACTTTTCTTAGTATGTGTGTTTGGATGTTTCTCCTCTTAAGTTTCTTGCCATATTCACCACTGACTGTAAAAATTGAAGTGCATGACACAATAGAACTTATTTGCTGTCACTCTTCTGAAACAAATTAATTTTTTGAATATTATGTGACCAAATTCTATCCATTGTATGTAGTTTTACATGTACTATTTAATATATAGCCTATACATAAAACCATTAATGATGTATTAGTTGTGTTTAAAAACAATCCACACCTACAACCCAACCCCACCATTGCATCCCAATTCAAACAAAGCTTCAATAATCATAAACATGAACCGATTTCCTGATAAACAGTTAAAATGTATTGAAACAAACTCATGTCAGAACAGATGCAAAGCAAATGCAGATGCACATAGCCAGAAATTCAACACTGTCAAACTAAATCACCGTTTACAGATATGCTTCGTCATGTGCACCAAGAGTCCAAATGGAAACTAGAAGGCAAAATGTAAAAACTGCTATGAGCCACCGAATTCACAGATGCCACCAGTAAACTAATATTCCATGAGTAGGAATTTACTACTTTTTATTTTTGAAGCAACAAAACCATGCCTGTTATCTACAAACTCTTTATCTTAAACTCTAAGAACAACCTAAGATTTAGTTTGTCTGTAGAGTTGGTAAAAGAAAATTTCCCTCTTTGCTGGCAATGTTAATAAACCAACCAAACCCCACCTACATATAGATACTGGTTTCAATGCCCTTACTTTTAATTGGTCCTTCACCTTTTTAGTTTAAAAAAAAAAAACTGAAAGTTTTTTTTAAAAGTAAAAACTAAAAGTTCGATGTGTCCAACTTCACATCCACCTACCAGCTAACATCTGCTTATTCTCCAAAAGTGCTCCTGTACTTTTCTTTCATGTTGACATCAGTTACAAGCTAGTCTCTCTAAGCCCTTTTTCCAAACTAGCATGGTAGTTTTCTACTTTTGCTTCAGGCACAAAACTCATGTATCCAAAAAGCTTGTCTTTTTTGTAAGCCCACAAATGAACGCAACAAAGATGCTACTTCTCCCTACTAAGATTTGCTTCTTCTATACAAAGACTATCAAAAACCCCCAATACTGCATCTCAGAATGATAATGCATTTACCACACTGGTTCTTCACTTTAAAATTAGAATGTTCTTCCTTCAGATTCGCTGTCACACACAAACCAGGTGATCTGTCTTCTACTACAAGGAGTTCTTGGTGGAGCTATGGAAAGCTACTGAAATCATTGCCAGCTGGAAAGGCAGCCAGAAAGTAAAGAGACAACTAATTCTCTTTTTCCTCTAAGGACTGATTGATGACCTGTATTGTCTGAGCTCAGATATTCAAGTGAGATTTAACGCAGATTACAGTGCAGATGAAGTGTTACATACTATCTTTAACGGTGTAATGCTCAGAAGTTTAGTGATGAGCCAGATGATCATTCCAAGGAATTTGATACTAAAAGTCAGCTACATAAAGGTAAAAGGCATCAGGTAGCATACTCCATGCAGATTATGAAGGCTTTGTATTGAAAAATAAAGATACTGTTATTAACAATAAGATCAACAAAAATAAAACATACCTTAAAATGCAATTTATTGGAAAACCAACTTCCAGTCCACGTATACTTCGCAAGTCTATTGAAAAGCAAAAATGGTGAGATGCTGCTGGAATAACAATTTTCTGTGCTGACACAGGCTCAGAAGAACTGGATGCACCCACAGGGTTAGGCTGACAGGCACCTACTGGACCATTATCAGCTGAAAACACAGAAGAAAATTTGTGTGTATTTTTAATAATTTATTCTGACCAAAATAACAAAATATATTAAAGCTAGGTCTCACATTTTAAATACAAGTCCAGTAAGGTTGCTTCTCCAAAAGATTTAAATTCTTTGCAATATAAGCTAATACTATGAAAAATAGCCACTCCATTTGCAACTTACTGCTTCAAAGAAAACACACCAAAATCCCAATGTATCTTAAATCTCCCGAAAAGATTCCATAATACTTTTTTCTATTTTTAATTTAAACTTTAAAGCTATGTGTCCTGGGTTCAGCTACAGCAGTCATTTTTTCTCCTTCTTAGTAGCTGGTGCAGTGCTGTGTTTTTGACTTTCAGTCTGGGAACAACGCTGATAACACCGATGTTTTTAGTTGTTGCTAAGTAATGTTTACTCTGACCAAGGACTTTCTCAGTCTCATGCTTTGCCAGAGAGGAGGGGAAGCCAGGAGGAAGCAGAGGCAGGACACCTGACCCAAACTGGCCAAAGGGGTATTCCATACCACAGCACGTCATGCCCAGGATAGAAACTGGGGGGAGTTACCCGGAAGGCCCAGATCGCTGCTCGGGTCGGGCTGGGTATCGGTCGGCGGGTGGTGAGCGGTTGGGTCCTTTTCCCTTGTTATTCCTCTTATCATTATTACTGGTAGCAGTAGTGGTTTGTATTATACCTTAGTTACTGGAGAGCTGTTATCTCAACTCGTGGGAGTTACATTCCTTCGATTCTCCTCCCCATCCCTCCGGGAGCGGGGGGAGGAAGGAAAAGGGGGGGAGTGAGCGAGCGGCTGCGTGGTTCCAAGTTGCCGGCTGGGTTTGAACCACGACACTATGTTAGTCTATCTCACTGAAGTTTAAAGTAATATCCAAGACATTAAATTCTTCAGGAGGATGCTATAAGACTTCCGGTCTTCAATATTTTACATAATTGCTCGTAGCCAACTTGAGGGAATGCAGAAGAGGTGGGCTTAAAAAGAAATCATTTGTATTAACTTAGTTTGCTTTGAATTAACTAACCACTTTAGTTTACGACTGAAAAAACCAGACCATTAGATCAATTAGCAGTGTTCATGTAAGGCAACATCAACTGTGGCTACTAAGCTGAGGTTTAACTACTGAAATAAACCAAAATGTTCTAGCTTGGTCTGTAAAGCATATCTGTTTATGCCCTCAATGACATCTGTTTTATAATTGAGGAAGTAGAAGCTATGGTAAGTGACTGTCCCATTGCATCCAGGCTCCTCAAGTCTTTACATTGGCACCCGATACTGCTTTCACAGGGTAAAAGGCCAAACTACAAGTTTTACAAAAAGTGTCGCCAAAGGTATCCTCCAGAAGTGTTTAAATTAGTAAAGCTGAGAAAGAGGGGAAAAAGGTGTTAGAGAACTCAACTGGCTTTTGTTAAGTACTAGTTGTTCTGATAGTCTCTTTTCATAACCATTCAAAACGTTCCCATTTTCATCATTTTAAAAGAAATACATCCCTGCTTGTTTATTTGCATTAACAGTAACAATAAAGAAAAGGAAAATGCAACAACACTCAACATCAGCTAGTTAGCGGAACATATGAATAAAATAATTTTCAGTGATTCAGGCAGTGTCAGTAAACTGCTTGGCATAACGAAATGGCTGAATAGGAGTTCAAGGCTGTCACAGACAAGGAAACACAACATACATAGGCTGCATACAAAAATTAATTTAAATTGCTACTATATTAAAATTTCATTCTATGTACTAAATGTAATAGATTTTGTATTACCGGGATTTTGTAGATCTGACAATAGAGGTGACTTTGGTCTGCTCTGCAGTTTGAAAACTGGAAGCTCTTCAGTACACTGTTTGTTAACCTCTTGGCAGGACTCAGCCACCAGCCCTGAAAGGTAAATGTCAAATTACATGTTTTACACCTTACCAGAGAGTTATAATATTATTATTGCTATTCATAAAAAAGCACAATCCTGGATTTCTTAACTGCAGATTCAAACTAGCTGCCGGGTTCACAACACTTTTTCTTGATACATACATGTAAAGGACTTAATCTTTGCTTAGATAAATTAGGATTAAAAGAAAATTTGGCTTCATCAGCAGACAAATCCTGAGAGCATGCTCTGGGGCACAGATTTTCCTCTACAGAACTAGGAGTCTTTAGGATCAATCTCAAAAGAACAGTAATACAAGTATCATTAGAAAAATAATAATTTGGCTTTATTCATAAATCATCTCTTCAGATTCATAAACAATCTCATAAACCACACTCAGTAATGGTTAGCAAACTAGCATTCTTTCTTCTGAGCTTTACTCTACTGTGATAGCATTCTTCCTTCTGATCCTTTTGACATCTCCCCCGACCAGTCCTCAAATCAAAAACGAAACAAGGGAAGCCTCAGAACACTATGTGGGATACCAAGTCTCTTCAAAAGGATAATGTAAAAACAGACAAAAACCTCAGTTGCTTGGTTGTGTCCAAGAATATGTACAGTATGAATGTTTGTTTTCACGATTTATTATCCACATAGTAAATTCCTTAGAAATCTTAAAAATCCTACATTCCCCCTGCCTTTCTACTTATTAGATGTGGACTATTTCATCTCCTCATTGAGCAAATCAGTTTCTTCATGAGGATTGTACTGAACCTTCCCATTCTCAAATTCAGGGAATTCCAAGCATTTCTGTTGTTATTTTTCATGCTGATAACTATCCACACCACTGATCACCTACGGTACACCCAATCTCCAATCTGGCTCTTCCAAGTGTTTTCAACAATTGCCATATTCAAATTACAGCATTTATTTCCCTCCTGTTATTTTTTTTATGCAAATGATTGTCTGTAATTTATCACCGCAAATGCATACATGATTCAAGACCACACTTGACAACTGGGTTATTAATAAAATAAAATAAAAAAAAACAACAAAAAAAACCCCCACAACCCTATATACTACATACCCTTTTTCTTTACTTTCATGCCTTTTTCAAACTTAAGACTTTCCACTTCGCTTTCTGTTGCTTCGTCTTGTGATGAAGAGTGGTTAACCTGAGATGGAGCATTCTGGGATCTCTGCTGCAGGCTCTCTGTTTTCCCTTTAATAGCTGAAAGTACTTTCTCCTGTGGCTGATTAGGTCCAGTTGAAGCATTTAAGGGAACCACAGGCTGAATGAAGTAATATAGTTTTCTTATTGACCATGGCTTACACTGAAAAATTCCATCTACAATATTTTTATAGTTTGAGATTATTTTCCTGACACAGAAAGATGAAACAATGAAAGGAACAGTCATATAAAGCAACTTATTCTTTCAGGTTCTTTTACATACTTAACTGTCAAATATGACTTTAAATACCAATCTATTTTTTTTTAAACATGAAACTGTACAACATTGTCTAAACAAACAATAAATGAGTAAGCTATACCTGGGCGCTCAAGCTCTCCCTTTGCAGAACTACAGATACCCCAACAGTAGGAGCCATATCCAAAGGCAACTGCGGCAGTTTATCTTTAGCTCTATTTGGTGGAACAAGGACAAATGCTCCCTCTATTGCCACAGGATGTTGATCGATCTCTACATTTCCTTTCTTCAGTAATCCAGATAGGGGTATTTCAGTGCTTCCAAAAGACTGGTCCCCACAGCAAAGATGGATCTGCATATGTACAAAGGTGTTAGAATGTAATCACATGTCCCTTTCCACTTGAACTGTCTGATCACCCTCTACTAAAGGTAGAATAAGTGCAACACATTAAAATGAGTATCCTTAGTCTAGTCCCTGTATGCTGAAAACAAGTGTTTTCAGCAGTGCGGGTACAGCTACAAAATTTCAGTAATGAGCAGGTAAGATCTGGCCAGTGCTAGCATGGTAGTAGATCACAGCATTGTCCTTCTAAGGCCTGTCATATCATCCCTTCTGGAAAACAAATTCAATAGTCTGCGGCTTCTAAACACAGCACAGATTCTTGTCCCTGCAACAGTGACATTTAAAATACATGACTGCAAAGCTCAGCCTGTGTGTATATATTTAGGCACCACCTAAAGAGCAAGGATTTTGAATAAAGTAACTGTGTTCTTAATTACTAGTAAGAAGCATTATTCCTTTTTCAAAACTTGAGTCAACACTTTCTTCCTTCCATGACTTAGTATTTATACACCTAAGTAGAAGACGATGGACAGCGGCAGAGCAGTTGACATCAT